GTACTGAAACACCCCTTGGGACAGTCAGAACAATAAAAATATAAATTTAATTATAATAATCTTACAATGCAAAGTGGCGTACTTCATTGACCTGACAAAGGATAAAGAAATCCATCTTATAGGGCGGGCTTCATCGTTATGTTCTGGCAATGAGCAGGATCAACGTTTCGAAGTCAGTTTCTGCATCCATCATCGTTGTAAATTGGACCACGTCCTGTTTTCATACTTTTACAAGGTTTCCTGCTCCAAAATCCAACCTCGTCGCAGAGGGTAGTAACAGTCTTGGTCCAGCGAAGCGAAGATGCGACATGTCGAGGGCTGGATCGCATTGAAGTGGTGATATCAGCGTTGCTAACGACCTCTTCGGGGCCCCGGGGTACACCCTATCGTATTTTACGAGGCTCGTCCACAAAGTAAGTTTCCCTGGGGCCGTTTACAGAAACAAAACACAATTTCATGGAAATATTTATTGCAACAGATACAGCAAGTGTCCAGCTATTTTTCAACATATTCGCCACCGGAATTGAGACATTTGTCATACCGTGGGACCAACTTTTGAATACCTGGGTCGTAGAAGTCTGCCGCCTGGGATTGGAACCACTGTGTGACAACCATCTCCGCCTCTCTTTCATTCTCAAAACGCTGACGCTGACCGGACAGGAATTTCTTGAGGTGTAGGAAAAGATGGAAATCACTGGGAGCGAGGTCCGGGCTGTAGGGTGAATGATTAAACACCTCCCAGCTGAACTCCTGCAGGAGACTCGCTGTCCGTTGAGCCGTGTGCGGCCTAGCGTTATCACTGACCGCACTTCACAGTCGGCGGGAGCTGGAATAAGAACCTCCATCTTCAACAGCTGCAACGATGCTACTGTGAGAACGCGGGAAGTACCGTTAGTGCATGCGCCATGCTACGTCATTGCTCTATCGCGTACGCACAGTCGCTTCGCGCAATATAAGGTTTGCTAGCTGTGGGACGAGTGGGAAACTTAATTTGTGGACGCGCCTCTATGTATCTCCATGGATGATTACTTTTGTTCCCCAGGTCTCGTCTAACGGTAATAGAAAACGAGGATGAAATAGTAGTGGTGGAAACCATACAAAGAAGTACACAGATATTACAATTCCTTCTGTAAGTTCATTAATCTCAGCAAGGAACAAGAATTTGTGGAATATCGCTTTAGGGAGAACCAGCGGTCATAGCATACCAACACCACTCCTCTAACAGAAAGAGCTAACAACTTTATGATTTCCGTTAAACAACTTCGCTGCCTCTGCACAGGATTTCGTCGCCATGAATTTGATTCAAATGCTTACGTACAGTGAAATAATTTCGACTGAAAGCTGAGCAAATATGACAATATATGAACTAGAACTGGCGACAGTCAGAAGTAGCTTTCGTTTCTGTTATCAAGAACTTCAAGATCGAAACATCCCGGTCCATATTAGTGGCCCGAACGACGCTGATAATATATATTGTCACTAACCTTTAGTGGTGTGGTTACCTGTAAATATCTCCAATGATTTCCAGAAAACTCAGTAAGATCGAATCGTAAGTGTGCATTCTGCATTTCAGTCCAATCATTTCCGTTTCTGCCCTAATGCATTAACGTTGTCCGTTAGTTTCCTAGATGAATTTTAGTCCAGCGATACGGAAATCTAAAAATATCTCGACAATTTAATGACGTCTGTCCTGGTGGTTTATTATTATTATTTAGTGTTCTGTCTGACGACAGGTCCATATGAACAGGATCCTTCCATCCTTTTCTCGGACTGGGACCTGTTCATATACGTTCTTGGCAGATGATCCAGAAGGTGTTTGCCATT